ATTTTTTTTTTTTTTTTTGACTAAATCATAAAGTTTAGTTATGTAGGAAAAACGTAAAAGTTTAATTATACACAACAAACAAAATATATAAATTAATTAATTTTTTTCAGACTATCTTAAGTAAATTAAGTTGTAGGCATTAGAAAAAAAAAACCGTTAGAATCAGTATAAATGGTCTATAATATCTAATAAATTTTTTTATTTCTTGCACAATCTATAAAATGTAGTAGGTGAGATCTGGATTTTACACAACCATTTAAGCAGATATATATAATATATCTATATCATATCTGTTACATTTTCCCTATATATCTACAGATATACCTCAATAACAAACTTATCTTTTCCAAACAATTTAGCCCTTTCACATTTATAACTCGAATGCTCGACTCACCTGAGAGTCCTGCGCGTAGTGTCTGTCCTGTATGTGGGCCGCATTCGCATGATGGCTCGAGGACAACGAATTATCACAGTTGGATGATGAGTTCTTACGTCTGCGCTTACTGCTACACAGCTGATCGACGGGCGTGGTGGACAGCTCTCTGTCCCGTTCTCTGTCTCTGCTCTCGTTGCGCTCTCGATTGTTGTTGCTGCTGCTGTTGTTGTTGTTATTGTTGTTGTTGTTGGTGCTGCTACTGCTGCTATTGTTGTTGTTGTTGTTGCTGCTATTGTTATTGCTGCTGTTATTAGTATTATTATTATCCTTGGTACTGTAGTCTAGCTGCAACAGCTCATCTCGACTATCGGCACGCTCCAGCGTGCCCCGTTCACTGCCCCGATCGCTGCCAGCATCGCCGCGACTGTTCAGAGCATCGGCGCTGGCGCTGCGATTCGCAGCAACAGCAACGGCAGCGGCCATGGCAGCCGCCGCGGCACTGGCGCTGCCCACGCTGGGAGATCGTTCGCCGGCGCTGGTGGTCAGGCCGAGAGCAGCGGCAGCTGCATTCACATTGCCACCGGCTGCTGCCACAGCGGCAGCGGCAGCGGCAGCAGCGGCCGCCGCAGCAGCGGAGCTGCGCTCGCTCAGRCTGAGGCTGCTGCTGCTGCGCTGCAGATCGTCGCGCAGGTCGCGTTCGCAGCGGGAGCGCAGGGAGTCACGTGAGTCGCGTATATCGGCGCCCATGCCGCCATAGCTGGGGCCACGCCCAGTGGGCGAGCTGGCAGCCGAGTCGCGCAGCTTGTCGCAATCGGAGCGATAATTCAGATTGTTGTTGTCTGTGAGACCGCGCACCTGTAAAGCCACACGACAAAGGCTCATCAGTAAAGAGAATGGGAAATTTGATAACGGTTTCGATCACACGCACCTGCAGACTCTCGGCCGTCTTCAGGAACATCGGCAGCGAACTCTGACCCACATTGACCTCACCCTTGTACATGAAGTCCAGCAGGGAGCGCATCTCTGAGTATCGGACATCTTTCAAATATATGATGGGATGTGGATGCTGATTCTGCAGGAAAATCGTCTCGAAATATGGACTGCAGGCTGACAGTATGGTTTGATGTGCCTGCAACAGAATAATCGAACAGCTATAGTTTCCATATTCTATAATTTAATCAGATTCGGGAATGTACCTTGACTGTTTCACCCTCACAGGCGAGGGTGACATCGCAGAGCGCCTCGCGCTGCAGCAGCGAGGTCAGCACCCCGGTCAAATTTGTGGGATGATTGTTCCAGCGTAAACAGAATTGCTGGTCCATAGCTCCTTGTTCAGTGTTGTACCTGTTGAGTGTAGATAGGGAGATATGTTAATTATATATATTCAGAAAGTCTTATACTAATTATAAAGGAGTTTACTTATTATAACTGAAAATTCCATATACAGGAAAATGGGCGAGTTGAATGAAAACTACTATTATAATATAATCAAATATGTATTTGATAAAACCAATTTAAATTTCCTTCAATTGGTTTCTAATTTAAATATGTACTTCAAATATCATTTCTAAGAACTTCATGATTCTGCTCTGCAAATTCACTGTTAGCCGTAGAAACTAGGTAAATACAAAAAAAAAAAAAAAAAAAAAAAAAAAAAACATATGCAACTCACTTATTACACAATTTCATGTCACTCAGCATATAATTGTCATCGCCTGAACTATAGAAATTTCTATAAMYATTACTATGTCGACTTATTCAACTTTGATAGAAATACGAAAATATTGTCGCTCTTATCAGCATAGGGGGCGAGAGGAAGCAAACAAAAAATGTTGCTAATATTTAGTCTATTAACACATTTGCAAGCCAAACTGGCTTGCGAATCTATAAAAAAAATAACATCTGGATCTTGTGATAATTTTTGAGAAATGTAGAGCCAAAATTACCCGAGAATTCGCAATAGAACTAATGTTAATTTTGTATATATCTATTTGGTTAGTTGTATAGCAGGTGGCTTCCCTTTATAGTTCTATGTGATGGCCCACATTTGCCGTGCCTTCAGTCGAGACATTCGCACTTAAACAAATAGAGATCGACAACTGTACAATTTGTGTTTTCTTATCGCCAAAATAATCGAAAATAGAACTCTGAACTCATTTTTTGAAATTTTAGCACTTCTTCAGTGCTATTCTAAATTTAGATTTTAGTTCCTGACAACTTTCGCTCGTTATCAACTGATATCAGTGCTTAGTACGGAAGAGGAAACGGAAACAACTCCCATTTTTTTTTTCTTCCATTTTGCTCTGATATCATTATCACTGTCTATAGACATCAAACAAATTGTAGTATGTCATTAAACACTATTTTTTCCATTACTATTGAGCGGAAGTTGTGCGGCTGCTGGGCCAACATTATTAATTGCATTTCCGTTAGCCGATAAAGGGCCAAAGGCGTGCGCCATGCGCCCTCTCACTCTCGCACGCCGCGTACCTTACGGGAAGGGTGCGTGTGCAGTGGTGTGTGGCGTGTTAATTGCCATTTGTTGCCGCCATGTTTTGACTGCTGCTGGCTAACTGTTAATTGCTCGAGCAAATTTTGCATGAAAATATTGCTGTAAGCTGGAAGGGGTTAAGTGCACATTGGCTTATGTTTTGCGGCCAATTGTAATGGCATAGATAAGCTAATGCTAATTTATGTGTGCTCCACAAACACATAAGCACACCAACATATAAACATATGCATTCCCCACCTTCATAGCAACCCTCGCTGGCACTATTTATATATACACTTGTAAGTCACATATACATATGCGTTGGTTCTATTTTATTTTATTTTATTTATTTATTTATTATTTTTTTACAACGCGCTTTAATCTTAACTGCTTTTGGGCAAAGTTCTAATGCAGCGCAGAGCAGCGGAAGAAATGGCGCTGCAAAGAGCAGGGGGAGAGGCAGCGCTGATAAGAAATACTTTTGCTTTTCTTTGTGCTTTGTGTATGTTTCAAATGCAGAGAGCGCACACGAGAGCGTAAGAGCGAACAAGCACGTGAGAGCGCTACACAGAAAGCTTTTTAGTAAGAGAACTTATGATTGCCGTTGTTGTTGTTGCTGCTGCTGCTGTCGTCGCTGACGACGCGCGCGCAGCTTAACAAAATAAATAAACAAAACGTCAAAGAACTTTTTCGCAAATCTGTGCGAGTGAGCCAGCGCTAGCGCCGCAAATTGAGGGTGTGCGACTGAGGTGGACGATCGCGAGAATGTGTGCTTACGTGTAAGTGTGTATGCGTGAGCAGTAACAATAACAATAATAACAATTACAACTACAAGCTCTGTGTGTGCGTGTGCGCCATGGGGCCCGGCGCTGTCGTAAGCGATTTTTTATTTGCGGCGCCGACTGCGACGCCCGTAATGTATTTTTTTTATTTATATTATTATTTTATTCTCTCACTGTGTTTGTGTGGCTTACAAAAATTTAATAGCACAAGCAAAAATATACATGTGTATGCACGCACACACACACACACATGCATACAACGGGCATTAAACTATCTCTCGCAGAGAACTTTCGCTTTCAGCTGAGAAAACTTTTGCAATAACTTTTGCTGTTAATTTGGTTCGCATTTTTATTTATTTTACTTTGCTGTCTGATTTTCTTTGTTTTTTTTTTCCTTGCAGAAAGCAAACGTTCTAAATTTGCAGAGAGGCAGCGCAGATCACGCGGCTTTCATTTGCTATTACAATTTGATTTTCATACATATGGAAATATATAGAATATATTTTTATCGAATTATCATGCATAGATTTCACACTTTTTACAACAAATTCTATGCTAATTGAGCGCAATTTACAATTTTATTGAATACTATTTGGAAATGGAGCACACATAAATCACATATAAATATATACGCCTGAATGGAAATTTCTATTTGCTGCTCATTACATAATTTTCACATGTAGATTGTAAGGTAAGCAATTTATTGGGAGGGGGACATATGATAGCAGCTAAAGTTTCCAGCAAATTCTTGAATTACACTGAATAAAAATTTGATATGGAAAATGAGAAATTATATGAACTTGAGAAATAAATAATACACTATAATTATTATAGTCGATCTCTGAAGAGAATATTGTGTAAATAGATCTAAACTCAAAGGTAAGTATATATAAATTGATTTAAATATATGTTAAGAACAACTCATTTCAATTCACATCAGAATTGTAAGAAGTCAATCAATATAATATCAATACATATTCTAATTTTATAATTCTTCCCATATTTATCAAAGCATTAAATTACAGTAAAGGGTATTTACTAGTCGAGCACTCCCGTTAGCAGCATTCAAGCTTGCTTTACTTGCAAGTATTCCAGCATAAATCACTTAAACAATTAAGCTTACAAGTTTTCAATTAATAATTCAAATTATCCATACAAATGTTAAAAAAGCATATAAATTAATAATTAGCAATATATAAATTACGATTTATATCGGCGGCGCCAGCTGAATTCCATAAATAAGCAAGACAAAAAAATATATAAAATATAATGAAATGCATTTTCAGTTTATTATTTTTATTTTCGTTTTCATTGACGCGAATTGCAATTTATAAAGTGATTCACAATTTGCAGTTCTCATTTTCACTTGCACTTTTCAATGCAATGGCCAAGCCCCTCTCCCCTAAACCCCTTGGGCCTCCCCCGAGCACCAACCCCCGCATAGCTCCCCACAAACGTTTAATTAATGGGGTGCAATGGCAGTAGCAAAACTTTTACTTTCTGCTGCTTACGTCAAATTATACAAGTACATATATGTATATATAGAATATATGTTATATATATGTATGTGTATGCTTATCAGCGTTGCAGGCAAACGTAGAACGAGCGTTGAAAAAAAAAGAAAACACTTGAGAACACAAACAGAGCCAAACAAAAACAAAAGTAAAGAGAGTTTTTTTTTTGTTTTGTTTTTGCTTTTGGGGAGGGTCGAGTTGAGCGATCAGCAAATTGCGCAATATGTTAAATATATATTTATATATACATATATGTATGTGTGTGTGTGTATGTCCGCATTATCCGTGCGCTGTTTGCTTAGCAAAGCGCGATGCTGTAATAGATACGCAGCGTGCCGAGACCCAGAGCCGGAGCCAGAGTTGTTAAAGACGTTTTATAGGACCTCTTAACAGAATGACATTTATATTTATTGCTATTTCCCTTGCTTCTAATTTCGTTTCATATCAGAGCGTAAGCGACTCGCCTGATATAAATCAAAATAATTGTATTCCTTATCGATATTTATTTGGGAACTATTACAACATACGAGCATTATAAGTGCATTGTAGAAAAAAGTATAATATGAAATGAAATTTATGACGAAAATAAAAAGAAAATAAATTAAAAACAGTTTAAAGTGTTAGGATTTCAAAGCTAACAAAAAAAAAAAAACAAAAAAAAAACAAAAAAAATAATTTCTAATCTAAACAGAAAAGAAAAAAAAAAAAAAAATGTTACATACAAAAATTAAAAAAGAAATATATGATGACAATTGAATGAAACTGATTCACAATCAAATCTAAATATGAATATGAATATAAATATGAATTTTAAAAAGATTTGGCAAATATTAAAATAAAAAAGTTTCATTTACGTTAATGATTAAGGAAAATATGATATAAATTAAATGAGTTGAAAAAGATATATAAAATATTAAAATTAGGAAATTGTCTATTGTATTAACGTATTAGTTTCTATAAAAATATGTACAAATTAATAAACTAATAATTGATAATCTATGCAACGTGTTTTTAGATCTCTAATGCAGATGCAAATAGACCTACGTATATGCTAGATGGACAGCACACGCCTATTGTCACGTGCCTGTTGGCTACACATACGCCTGGACGTGTGTGTGTATGTGTGTGTATACTTAGATAATCAATGCTAACAATACACACGCACACACACACACACTGTTACACACATTGATACAGCTACAATTGCCAACACACGCGTCCCACGCGGCGTATCAGCAATGGCCTTCAACTTTTAGTTAGCTGCGCCTTATCGTGCGCAGCAGCGACGCCGGCAGCGCTGCTGCTGTAACAGCCAAATAGTTTTTCAATTTACACGTTCTACATGGCTGAGAGCGCGAGAGAGAGGGAAATAAAGGCAGAGTGAGAGAGACAGAGAGAGAGAGAGATAGCAAGAGAGGTGTAGCTGAGAGAGATACACGAGCACATCAAGTGCTGTACGGACGGACCGATAATAATTATAAATACAAAGTAGTTTGTTGATATTTGTTATTGTTGTCGTTGTTGCTGTTGCTGTTTCTCTTTACTCATTTTCAAACA